AATTCAAGCCCAATGACTGACCCCCCCCCCCCAAAAAAAAATACAAGAAGATGCCTTGAACACAAGGCTAGGGATGCTCAGATAGGTCTTCAGGGAGGTCCTCAGTAACTCTGTCTACTCACACTGTGCCCAGGAAAAATTCAGAAAGAAAACTCTAGTAACTTTCTGAAGCCATATTGTTGGTGAGTGTGACAATAGGAAGAAAAAAGCCAGCCCTGTCTTATCCAAAAGGCTTTATCTTCTCATTGCTCATTCACTCACCAATCATTCAGTCAACAAAGCACCATCGACACTGGATGATGGCTTCTGTCCTAAGACACTTCCTGCGGATGGGGAAGCAGAGACCATCCAGGATGTTTACAAAAGGCAGCTGCAGGAGCAGAAGGACAAGAGAAACAATGCAGCTCCTAATGAAGGAAGAATTGCACATGGGCCCTTGGCTTTCCACTGAGACCCTGCTTGGGACACAGGTTTAGGAGAACAGGGCTCTGTGGCCAGTGGCCAGCCTACAGGAGGAGGTGACAGGAGGGGCTGATGGTCTGCACAGGTGAGACCCACTTGTAGGGTTTTTGCTCAGTGACAGTGCAAGGTTTTGCTAGAGTGTATCCCAGCATGCACAGAAGTACATGCCTGTATCCTCCTCTGTCAGGTGATGGATCCTGAGACTGGAGGATAGGTCGCTTAGCCACCTCTTTGCTTCGTATCTTTCCTCACTAATGCCTTCCTCATAGATGACATTATCATTGGAGGAAATGCACAGGATCCTCCTCAGAGGCTGCCCTGGCTTCTGTTGGTACCAGTGGATGTACACTTTCTCCTTGGCCCCGGCCACCTTCATTTGGCATTCTAGAAATGCCGTAGCTCCCGCTTTCTTAGTGATGTGGGATACCAGGTCTCCACTTGTATCTAACAGAAAAAGAGAAAAGCGGGGAAATGGGAAATTTTGGAGATCAGTCAGATTTTGAAGTTCATGAAAATGGCTCTTTGTGCTACACATAAGTTTGCCTTTTCTTTCTTGAAGAATTCCAGGTCAAGGTGGTGTTTGTCAGCATAGATGAGTGACATGTAGCCCTTCATCTGCATGGGGGGCAGGGAGGACTGTCCCTGCTTTCTACCCCACCCTTCAATGAGTGAGAAGAAAGCTGGCTGAAAGCACTCACAGATCCATGTGGAGGCTGCCCAGATCACCCCTAGCAGGAGCTGCATCTTGCCAGGAAGAGGCTGACAAATGGTACTCATGAGGGGCCCAGCCAGAAGGCGGAACTCAGGGCTCATTCAAAACTGGAGTCTGACGAAGAAAGAGGCAGCAGCATTCTGAACACAGATCTCAGGTCTGAAGACAGGAAAGGGGCCTACCACATGCTTCCAAGTACCCCCATGGAAGCTGGCTTTCCAACTCATCAACAGATTTCTCTCAATACTGTGCTATTTTCTATTTTTTACGACGAGACTTTTTAAGTGGATTTTTCCATGATCTCCTTACAAAATATTTGTCAGAGTTCTAGAACACAAAGTCTAAGTTGTAACAGGAATTTCTCATAAGCAAGGGGCCCCCAAGTGTTTACCTTCCCTTGCTACTCTATATTGAGTCATTTCATTCCATGATGAAAACAAGAATTCTACTTTTCTTTTTAGCTGTAGCAACCATACACGAGATGACAAATTTTTACTACCTGAATCAGTAACTCATAACCACCAACTACAAAGCATGTCTCTACCTGTTCCCTCATCTCTGAAAGAAGAATTAACCGGACTATCACCAATGTCAAGAGATTATCATGAAGCTGAGAAGAGTTAGATGTTAGTGATTTAGAACACTTTGGCCAAGGATCAATACCCGCTGTGACTCTGAGCAGATGCATATGCAAAATCCCAGGGCAAAGGACCCTGAGAACAGTAGCCAATTTTATGGATGATCCTTTGATTCTCTCTAACAAGCCCGGGGAGATGCTGATATCTATGCAGGAGAAAGTAAGCTACTAGGGCTGTAGCCTAGTTCTGAGCTGGGCAATGGCCAGTATTCCTACTTGTCAGGGAGAGAGGAGGAGAGGTCAGGTTGATTCCACTCCACTCTCTAGAAAGTGCAGGCCAGGGAACTCTGCCACAGCTGTCCAACTCTACCCTCTGTGTTCCAGGAGCACCTGGTGACAGGGAAGTGGGCAGCTTGGAATTGGGGAAGGTGTGAGAGTGACAATAAATTACATCTCCTATCTTCAACTCTGTTCCATACTAATTTAATTTTCAGGAGCAATATTGTCCTAATTACAAGAAGAAATGAATTTTGTTTGTTTGGTTTTGGAGCCAGTACTAGGGCTTGAGCACTCTCCCCTAGCTTTTATACTTAAGGCTGGTGTTCTGCCACTTGAATCACAGTTCTACTTCTGGCTGTGTGTGTGTGTGTGTGTGTGTGTGTGTGTGTGTGTGTGTTGGTCTTGAGGCTTGATCTCAGGGCCTGAGTTCTTCTCCTGAACTTTTGTGCTCAAGGCTGGTGCTCTACACTTGAACCACAATCCCACTTTTGAGGTTTTGGGTGGTTAATTGGAGATAAAAATCTCATGGACTTGCCTGCCCCAGCTGATTTCAAACCACACTTCTCAGGTCTCAACCTTGTAAGTAGCTAGGATTCCAGGCATGAACCACTTGTGCCCAGTTGGACATGCATTTTATATTCCATATTAAAATTACTCTTCCTTGTGTCACCAAAAATCAAGTTAATAAGAGAAGGCTTTTAGAAATAAAATGCCTGCTGACAATTTGCATTGATCTCATGAATAGAATTTAAAATGCGTATGCACAGATGTGGAGTCCAACATTTGTAAAATTAACTTTGAAGTTATGCATTATGACTTTAGACAAACCAAATATTGAACCACTATTTCTACTGAGAAATCGGAGAGAAAGTTGACAAACTATTTCATGGAAACAGAATGTGATTCTAATCATCCTGGACATCCGCCCAACTGGGGAGCCCAGCACATGAGCCCCTCCTGCTCTAATTCTCAGAGTGACCTGGGAATCTTGTGAAATAAGATCTGACCTCAACAATCCTGGGCAGAAGCTAGGTATCCTGCATGTCAGCTGAGAAACAGGGCTACCAATTCACAAACCAAGCTTTTAGTGTCAAGAATTTAGAGTAGTATTCTAAACAATTTATGTTCTAATAGATACCAATATTCCATATAATCCTTTAATGCACCACTCAACTACTGAAAATTACCTGTGCTCAGGACACTTGTAAAACATTTTTCTGTAAGTTTTACTTAGTTATAAAATATACTTTAAGAAATTGGGAGGGAAATTGTTATTGTTTTACATTTAATATTCTTCCCCATGATTCCTTGAAAACCTAACCATCTGCGAGCCAACTCAAAATAAACAAGAATAGTTGATAATTATTTTTTTCTTTGCTGGCTTGTGTTTTCTCTATAGGTGAAGGACGCAGGTAATATCTGTCTTTTTAACTATCTCATCTTCTGATGCCAGAGTTTTGATTTTTCCTTTTCAGATCTCTTCTAGATACTTGTTAGGGGCAGGGCTTGCTTTGTCTCAGCTCTGAGCCCTGAGCCCTTCCATTTTTTTTTTCAGACATAGGGTTTGCATGTTGGGCTCCCATGATTTCTGGAGGGTTGATTGTGCACTTACAATAGTCACTGTGTTTCTCCAGCAAAGCCCCAGGGTACTAATAAATGTGACTACTACACATTTTCTCGATGTGAGAAAAGGCCTCATATGTGCATGCTAGATCTCAAAGATAAACATATATGTCTACCCAAACAGGATACTAGCTATAGAACATCATTGTAATTGTGAGGCTATACAAGGGGCTTAGGAGTAGAAAAGGAAAAGAAAATGTAAGGGGGTGAAACAGTACCAAAATACACTCTGTCTATAAATAAAGATGGCAAAACCAAACTCAATGAGAGCTGTTGAATGATTGAGAGAGACAGAGTTGAGGAAAGGGAGACAAAGAGATGTCAATCCAATTAAATTCGGTATATGGATGCAAGTCATACCCTGATGAAGCTCCTGTGAATAGTTAATATGCAATTTAAAAATGAGTGACAGGAAGATGAAATCATGTATTTCTAGAGTGTAGGTAGTAGTGGGAACAGAGAAGATCATTCAAAAGAGAGAAGGCAGGTGAAGGTGATCAGAATCTCTAAGTATACAAGTGGATATGGAACAATGAAGGCTGAGACAGGGGAGGAGAAATGAGGAGAGAGATTAAGGAAGGGAAACTGATCGTGGTAAATTTTATGCCTCCAGGGACATGTCAAAATTCAAGTCTCTCGTACAATTAATTGATCATTGTATGACAAATGGGAAAATAGAGAGAGGTGCCAGTGGCTCATACCTGGAATCACAGGAAGCTGAGATACAGGAGCATCACGGCTCAAAGCCAGCCCAAGCAGGAAAGTCTGTGAAACTCTGGTCCCCAATTAACCAATAAAAAGCTGGAAATAGGTCTATAGCTTCAGTAGCAGAGCACTAGTACTAATAAAAAAAAATCTCAGAGGTATTGCCCAGCCCTGAGTTCAAGCCCTAAGACGGGCACAAAAAAAAGAATAGAAAAATAACAGTAAAGGATCATTATGTCAGCCACATGTGCACGTGGAATATGACCCTTTCTTGCCTGTTTTGGAAGCCATTCAGGTATTGCAAATCTCTGTGCAGTCAAGTAATAAATACCTAGATGATACTATGATTTGTGGGGATCAAGACAAATAGTGGCCATGCATCCTTCCATTGTACCTTAATTGCTGCCCCTGGTGGAACTCACTGGACAAGCAGAGCTGAGAAGCTCCCTGGGAAGCCCCAGGAATGCTGGGGCCTGAGGGCTCAGGCTGGGAGCCCAGCTGGCAGCCTCTGTGGCTCTGCATGTTGGGTAAACAGACTAGGGGTTAGTTCTTGTGTGGGTTACCCTGGGGACTCTCACACTGTGTGGTAGCCATGGGAACAGTAGTATGTAGCTTCATCTTCTGTCTTTAAGAAATTGATCGTCAAAGTTGCTGTGGAAGTGCTAAAATTCTTACTTGCCTCAAATTTCCTGTCCTTCCCATTTAAAGATTGCTGACTGGAAGTGTAAATGACATACATTAGATACTCTAAGCTTTGGCCGGGTTTCTGTCGGTACCAATGTATGAATGCACTGCGGAAAGTACTGAAGGATGCCTTACAAGGTACGTGGGCACTGCCATCTGTGGCTCTGGAAACTGAGATTTCAGGTTGCTCCAAGTATCCGAGTCCAACTGCAAGCAAAGGAGAAAGATTGCCATCAACAAATGACACCTGAAGAAGCAACACTATGAAATGACTTCAATCCCTTCTCTCTTCATCCCTTTCTTAGCTGGAAGTGATGGGGAAACTCACAAGCCCAGAGGGAGGAGAAGATGGTTGCTTTCAGAAGTAGTACCATGTCTGCCAGGCTGAGCAGACAGAGAAGGTGGCAACTTATGATCTGAGGGTGGGAGCAGAGGCCCTTGGATCCATGACAGGAGGGGCAGAGATGTCCTGGTGTCTCAGACATGAGGGGGTCAGGAGATTTCCTGGGTTTCTTCATGATCTGCTCTGTGGTTTCCTGCCCCACAAGAGCTGGGTAGAGGGAGTAAGTAAGGGAGACATGCTGGTCTGAAGTTCTCCATCTGAACCAGTGAGTGGGTGCAGTGTACATGTTTGTAGTCCTAGCTAGGACAAACACAAGAGTTGGACATGGTGGCATGTGTATGCCATCTCCAGCTACACTGAGAAGTACAAGTAGGAGGAATGAAGCCCAGGCTTCCTGGGCATGAAGCACGACCCTACCTTAAAAATAACCTGTGCAACAAGGGACAGGGTTATTTGTCAAGTTGTATAAGGTCCTAAGTTAAAGTCCTAAGTTCAATCTCCAGTCTCACACACACACACACACACACACACACACACACACACACACACACACACACACACAAAATAATCAGAAGTAATATAGATGAGGATGATATTCAGACTCTCACAAAACATAGGAAAAGGACCAATGGATTATGTATCTAACTCCATTTGCTGGGTTTGCTTTGCTTGCAAAACAAACAAAACATCTTTTTCATTTATCTCAAAATTACAGAATAAACCATGGATCCTTGACACAGGAAACCAAACAGCTGAACATGTGGATTCTGATTTCAGAATGTTTGAACAATATGCACAGGGGACATGCAAAGGAATCTGGATGCTGTTCAGAAGTTTGCTTAAACACTACTATTAAAAATAGGCAACGGGGGCTAGGAAGGTGGCTCAGTGGTAGAGCGCTTGCCTTGCATGCCCGAGGCCCTGAGTTCGATTCTTCAGCACCACATAAGCAAAAAGAAAAAAGCCGGAAGTGGCACTATGGCTCAAGTTGTAGAGCGCTAGCCTTGAGCTGAAGAGCTGAGGGACAGCGCCCAGGCCCAGAGTTCAGGCCCCACGACCGGACGCCCCCCCCCCAAAAAAAATAGGCAACGAATGAGATGTACAAGTCTCTATGTCAAAAAATGAACTTTACAACTTTGCAGGGGGGGGATGGGGTGGGGAGTGAGAGAGGTAATAGGAAGGGGTTGGAAGGGGAAACAAAAGAGGAGGCAACAGTGCTTGATAAGAAATGTACTCGTTATCTTGCCCATGTAATTGTAACCTCTCTGTACGGTATTTTCACAATAAAAAATAAAAAAAATAGGCAATGAACAATTGGATAGTTTCATTTAGAGAAATCAAATAGGAATGCATTGGCATTTTGCTTCTTTGGTCAAAGACACAATTTCTCAAATCCTGAGCAGGGGCTTTAGCCCACTATAGTAATTGGGGTCAACTAGCATCGTGGGATAATCTGGCCTCTTTGCCTTGGAACGGAAATGGTGTACTGGTTCTTTGATCCTCCTGAGACAAAGAAGCAGTTGGAGATATTTGATAAAAGTGGCAAGACCACCTGGGTCTCCCCTGTGCTGTCTGCCCTGTAACTGCTGTGTGATGGAGATCAGCACCTTCAGCTCTTCCTTCTTCCTCTATCTCCTAACTCAGATGTGACTAACCAGAATAACAGAGTGCTGTGGGCTAAAGAGCATACATACACAAAGAACAGAGATCTCTAATGGAGAACTCTCTTTCTCTCTCTCTTTCACAAACACACAGAATACAACTGAAATATCATGAACTATTTCGTTGAGCAGAACTTTGGTTGTCTCTAAGTGCAACTTATTTCGTCTCTGAACAAGTTCAGGAGAAGAATTTTTATGACCGATTATGTGGCAGCCAAGGGAAGCTGAGCAGAGAGATGTTACCTTGTACTCTCTCAGCACCTCTACCCTGAGAAGCTCACCATAGCTGGATGTTTCTGGGAAAGAAAATAATAGACCTTTCAACACAGTGTCCATGTGCAGACCCAAGTCAACAGGAAATGATACCAACTAAATATTTGGGGGCACCGGTACTGGCAACTGTGGGGTGCTGTTGATGGTCATTAGATTCCCTTTCTGGTTTCCTGTGATACAGAGATGTAACTGAAAACACAGGAAGTGCTGCATCCTGGGGCTGAGAGCTAGCAGACCTCAGAGCGAGACTGGATTGTTCCAGTTGAGGAGCCAGTGGTCACAGATATGTTAGGAGATGCCTGTGTTCATATCCTTGGCCAAAAAGGCATGGTAGAACTCCAGGGGAAACCTATTATTGTATCTCAACTTTGTATAAGTTTTACATTAGAGACCAAAGGAGAAGAGTCAGAATTTTATAGACTCATTAGAGTTATAGTTGTTTCTCTATAAATGGCCTTGAAAAAGGTGTGTTTTTTTCCCTTTTGCTCTTGAAATCAAATTTTCAGAAGCCCAATTTGAAGCTTGTCAGTGCCTGACTAGAATTCTAAATCAAAGCCTGTTTCTTTCCTGCAAGTATGACAAACGTTTTGCCCACTCCAATGTACGTATTCCATTCCTATAAGAAACCAAGGAATAAGTAGCATTACTAAGAAAATCAAATTACTAAGAGAGAAGATATCGTGTATGTGTGTGTGTGTGTGTGTGTGTGTGTTGGTCTTGTGCTCGAACTCAGAGTGTAGGCACTGTCCTCCAGCTTTTTTGCCTTGAGCCACAGCCCTACTTCCATCTTTTCGCTGGTTAATTGGAAATAAGAGTTTCATGGGCTCCTGCCCAGGCCGGCCTTGAACCATGTCCTCAGATTACAGCCTCCCTAGTAGCTAGGATTATAGGCATGAGCCATTGGTGCTCAGCAAAGCTATAACTTTTACAGCGCACTTCAAATAATTCAAGAAAGAAGTCAATAGATTTCATGCCTCAAGTGAAGAACATTCCATCTGCCCAGGCTCTGTGTCTGTGCAGGAAGAAGTTTGAGGAGATAAAACCAGATCAGAGGCTGCCATGCCAGTATGGGTGGAGAGGCTTCTCTGGTGCCGGACAAGAAGACAGATGTATCACTGTCCTTGTTTTCTGAGGCTGCTCATTGTCTGTATCCTTTGGGAACTTTATCTATTTTTTTATGGCACCAAATAATCCTTCCATTTACCAAGGAAGAGATGATGCAACTTGTTAGTCCTGTTCAAGGTAATTCTTCCTTATCATTTGGTGCTTTATCCACGTTGTTTTCTTTGCTTTCAAGGGAGAATTGGCCTAAGATATCAAGTCTGCTATCACCTAAAGCCACCTGTAGGTGAGTATGGTCCCCAATGTCTAGGCCTACCGAACTGTCATGATGCAGGCCAAAGTTTCATTGTCCCTCCCTGGCTTTGTGGAGGGCCCAGGACCTATGAGATCTCTTTTTTCTTTCTTTGGAGGTTGAAATCAAGGCCTGGGTACAGTCCCTAAGCTTTTCTACTCGAATTGTGCTCTACTCTCTGAGCAATGACACTACTTCTAGTTTTCTGGTGGTAATGGGAGATAAGAGTCTCATGGAAAGAGTGAAAGAAGGTGAAGGCAATCAAAATGCTCTATGTCCACATGTGAAAATGGAACAGTGAAGCCTGAGACAGGGGAAGAGGAATGAGGAGAGAGATTAAGGAGGTAAAACTGATCGTGGTAAATTTTATGCCTCCAGGGACATGCCAAAATTAAAGTCCTTTGTACAACTAACTGCTACTTATATAAAGAATGGGAAAATGTGGCCAGGTGGCAGTAGCTCACACCTGGAATCCTAGCTACTCAGGAAGCTGAGATATGAGGATCAGGGCTCAAAGCCAGCCCAAGCAGAAAGGTCTATGAAACACTCCAATTAACCAGTAAAATGCTGGAAGTTGGGCTTATGTGGCAGAATACTAGTACTGAGAAAATAATCTCAGTGGCATTGCCCAGCCCTGAGTTCAAGTACTAACATGGGCACACACACACACACACACACACACACACACACACAAAGAAGAATGGGAAAATAACAGTAAAGAATCATTATGTCAGCCACATGTGCACGTGGAATATGACCTTTTCTTGCCTGCTTTGGAAGCCATTCAGGTACTGCAAATCTCTGTGCAGTCAAGTAATAAATACCTAGATGATACTATGATTTGTGGGGAGCAAGACAAATAGTGGCCATGCATCCTTCCATTGTACCTTAATTGCTGCCCCTGGTGGAACTCACTGGACAAGCAGAGCTGAGAAGCTCCTTGGGAAGCCCCAGGAATGCTGGGGCCTGAGGACTCAGGCTGGGAGACAAGCTGGCAGCCTCTGTGGTTCTGCATGTTGGGTAAACAGACCTGGGGGTAGTTCTAGTGTGGGTTACCCTGGGGACTCTCACACTGTGTGGTAGCCATGGGAACAGTAGTATGTAGCTTCATCTTCTGTCTTTAAGAAATTGATCGTCAAAGTTGCTGTGGAAGTGCTAATATTCTTACTTGCCTCAAATTTCTTGTTCTTCCCATCTAAAGATCGCTGACTGGAAGTGTAAATGACATACAATAGATGCTCTAAGCTTTGGCCGGGTTTCTGTCGGTACCAGTGAATGGCCACACTGCGGAAGCTACTGATGGATGCCTTACAAGGCACCTGGGCACTGCCATCTGTGGCTCTGGAAACTATGATTTCAGGTTGCTCCAAGTGCCCGAGTCCAACTGCAAGCAAAGGAGAGAGATTGCCATCAACAAATGACACCTGAAGAAGCAACACTATGAAATGACTTCAATCCCTTCTCTCCTTATCCCTTTCTTAGCTGGAAGTGATGGGGAAACTCACAAGCCCAGAGGGAGGAGAAGATGGCTGCTTTCAGAAGTGGTACCATGTCTGCCAGGTTGAGCAGACAGAGAAGGTGGCAACTTGGGGTGGAGGCCTTGGGCTCCTTGACAGGAGGGGCAGAGATGTCCTGGTGTCTCAGACATGAGGGGGTCAGGAGATTTCCTGGGTTTCTTCATGATCTGCTCTGTGGTTTCCTGCCCCACAAGAGCTGGGTAGAGGGAGTAAGTAAGGGAGACATGCTGGTCTGAAGTTCT